TAGCCGTCCATGGCGCGGCCCGTGGTGCTGCTCTGCTGCTGCGCCGCGGCGCTGCTGGCGGCGTGGTGGGGCACCGCTAGCGCCAGCCAGAGCTCGCCTGCGGCCGCCGCCCCCCTGCAGGACGAGGCGGAGAACCAGGAGAACATTCTCTCGCAGGTAAGGCGTCGCCGGCCCGAGCAGCAAGGCGTCGGTGCCTGGCAAGGAGGAGCCGGACCTTCGAGGTGATTGCCGAGCGGCGCATTAAGAACGAAGGGGGGTGGGCTGCGGGATCTCTCAGGGGCTCCAGCACCCTGCTCCTGAAGTGCGCAATTCATCCCTCACCCTGGCTCTCTCAAGGCATAAAAAAGAGGAGAGATTCCTCTGTGCATGTGCAAAAAGCCCTTCCCCTCACAGCTAATTAACTTTGTGTGCATCTGCAATTACAGGAGGGTAAGTCTAACCTGGAATGGCCTTAACCTCGGAAAAAAATATCCTTAGGCTTGGATTGCATGGGGTAAAAGATGTCTGGAGATTTGAGCTGTAGAGGGCAACTTGACACATTCAGAACAACATGGAGGCAGCAGAAACTGAGAATGCGTCTGCCTCGTGGCACAGCCAGAGGACCCCAATTTGGCCTTCCACGGAAGTTTGGTTTTATGGGATGATTTTAGAAGCAGCACTTCTTGGAGATGAAGAACAGAGCGAGGAATCTACAGATGGGTTTCCAAATAAAGGTGGCTTGGTCACTTAACCAAAAGTATATTCAAACTTAGTAGGACTTGCTGAGGGTTTACACCCAAATGGCCATGCCTAGGTTTATAGGCTGGTTTCTGTCTTATATTGAACACATTACGTTAGATCAGCCTTTGGTTAGATCATGTAAGGAGAGCTGGAGCCTTGCCTTTGTCAGCTAAGAAACCTGTTTAATTTCAGGATCCTTGCACTGAGTAGCTGGGTCCATGGGTGCCTATTGGGCTGAATCAGCAGGCTTTGTTTTGTATTATAGTGTTACACTCCATGTGTGCAGAATTTGCTTTGTCTTCACCTGGTACCTGTTAGACCCAGGGGTGGTGACCGGTGCAGAAAAAGGACAGGCATCTGTAGTTTTAGTGCTTGTACGGAGAAGTGAGCAAACAGAGGTACATCTGCTAAAATCTCTCTCTCTCTCTTTGTGAATTATGAAAGATGCAGAAGCAGCATTTTCATGTATTTGGCTACTCCAGTTATCCGGGACAAAAGGCCTTCTGAAGTAGATCTCTCCATTTAGTAGACAAGGTTTGGGATTATTGCTTTGCTGCTCCTTTCTACGTCTGTATATTGAGCAACCCCCACCCCCAAATATTACTTATTTCCTATTCAGCTAACTGAGTGGAGCTCTCTTCTGAGTACTGTATGTACATATAGGATTGTGCTGGGAGACCAGTTCTATCTGTCAGTTCCTCTGGTGCTTAGAGCCTGTAGCAGCAACAGTAGCAGCTTTCCATGAGCTCCTCTTGGTTTTCCCTTGTAGCTAAAGTTAGCTAAAAGAGAGAGAGGCTGCAAGTGGCAACATGTATACAGTCCGTGCTGCCCGGGCCTTCTCTTTGCCATTGGTATAATCAATTGCATGCATTTATATTGCGATGAGCAATCTTGAAATTATATCAGGCTTGCTGCTGAGCAATACTTAAAACAGCCTTGTCACAATATCTGCCTAGATGATGGAGGCTAACCTCCCATGAAAAATCTCTGCATGTACTGTGCAATTAGAAAAACACACGTTTGAGCTGCTTTTATTTTTCAGTGTTGTGTCTGATCCATTTGTGTTGAATTGCATTTACTGTTTGTTGAAACTTTGCTTTGGCTAAGCAGGATGTGCCAGTCTGTTTCACAACTTTTGTCCTGTTCTTGTATCCGACCAGAAAAATGTCCTTGGTTACACATTGGAGACTTTGGCTTTCTATCAAATGTATCCTGATGGCTTTGTTTTTTAAATATATTTTCTACTTTTTTGAGGGCAATTCCTATTAAATATGTCTAAGTTAGGGTAGCCTATCATCACTGGCATGGTCTCATGTATGTGATACATGGAAATAAATAAGAGGTGCAAAGACCTCATATATAGCTCCTCTTTTCACTTCAATGAAACATGTGCAGGAGAATTTCCCAACAGATTGTTCCCATTATATTTAAATGAGATCATTCTGGAGAATGTCTGGTTTGAGCACTGCAGCCTTTTAATTTCCCAAAACCCGAGAGAGAGAGAAACCAAAGTTGTTTGGGGGCACGTTGACTAGTTTGGGGTTTGGTTTTTGGATTCCTTTAGGTGGTGGAAGAAAATTACTTTCTCGGATAACCAAGGAGCAGAAAACATTAAGTGTCAGCAGTATTTTACACTAGACATCTATTTCTTCAGGGTTTCAGAATGTCTGAGTTTCTCCCAAATGTTCCACCAAAGCAAACCCACCAAGATTTCCAGAACAAATTGACTGGCTTCATTCCCCTTCCCTCCCCCTCCTTTCCTTGATTAGTTGCTAGGTGACTATGACAAGGTGAAGGCGGTGTCCCAAGGCTCAAACTGCCAGTGCAAATGTGTGGTGAGACCCCTGGGCAGAGGAGCATGTCAGAGGATTAACGAAGGAGCTTCCAAAGCTGAGGATTTTTATGTGGTGGAAACGATCACTTCTGGACCAGAATGCAAATGCTCCTGTGTGGCTCCGCCATCTGCTCTCAATCCCTGTGAGGGTGACTTCAGGCTGAAGAAGCTGCAGGAAGCAGACAGCAAGGACTTCAAGGTATTTGCCTTTCCTGTGTTTTTACTGAAGTTAAAATGCATTTTTATTATTTCAGTTTATGCCACACCTTTCTACACAAAGGGTGGTTATGAGATTTTTCCTCTCCCAAGTAATGGGAAAGTTAAGGCACGTTTTGACAGGAAATTGATTTGGAGATTTAGTGTGTTTCTTTACACTACTTGTAGATGTACCAAGCTGGGATACAGGGTATACAGTAGCAGCAGTAGTCCTCCCCCGACCCCGTCCCAAAGTACGCAGCATGGCCATGAAACAATCCCCTTCCTGATTTTGTCCCAGCAGGTTGCAAACTGGGGATCTGCTTCCCCTATCCACAATCCAAATGCTAAGTTGTGACTTGGTTTGTATACTGTGCTAAGCCATGGTTCAACAAATATGGCTTGTTAATTTAATTGCCATGGTATGCAGACCACAGTAGTTCAGTTCAGAGAGTGCATGCCAAGACCAGACAAACCACAGAATAGCTCAGCGTGGTGAGGAAGCCCAGTTTGTGTCTTCAGCCCATCTCACCAGGAGAGGGAGTATCTGGAAGCTAGAAGCCAATGGCTCTTAAATGCATTAATGCCTATAATGTGGCCATCTCTAGCCATTAAGAGAACAACATAATCTATTAAAAATAGATGTGAGACGCACATCATCATAACATCAAGTTAATTTTATAAACAGTGAATTGTGAAGCAGTAAGATCAGGTTAGCCAGAATGGCAGCTACAGTACTTCATTGTGGCTTGGTTGCCCAGAAGGTGAGAAATACATTTGGTCTTAGAGCAGCTTTCTCCAACCTGTTGTTCTTCAGCTGTAGAACTGCAGCTTCATAATCGCAGCCAGCTCATCCCTTAGCACCAAGGGACCAAACTGTGGGAAGGGGTTTAGCAAGTTCATCTCTATGCAGCTGGACATCTCTTTAAATAAGGAACCATGTACAATCAGTCCAAACGTAGTACACTCACAAATATGTGTGCTGCTGTGGTATCTGCATGCCGAAGTTCTGTCCTTACCTGGCAGGAAGTGAACCAGACCCTTGGCCTTCGCAGTACCTGCTAGGAACAGGAAGAGCAACAGCCTTAGTAAATATGTAGCTCTGGGTTCTCCCACATATACTGAGATGGGAAGCCACAAGATATATGCTATATAATGACACAAAGAGACACTCCAGATGTGAACATTTGCCCTTTCTGACTATGCAAGGAACTATTCCTTTTTGGAACAATCTGCATTGGTTAGGACAATTTGCACTGTTGGATATTTAGCACTCAGTTAAAATGGAAATGTGGTAGACTGAAGGAATCTGGTTAAATATAGCTCTAGAGAAGGGGGAGGTAGGGTGTAATTCCCTGGAAACAATCTGTTGACTGGATGCCACAAACAGATGTGGCCATCTACTTCCCCATCCTGCTCCTTTTCTGCCATTGTTGCTTCTTTCTCTCCCTTGCTCCTCCAAACTCAATGGCTTGAATTATGGCTTGCAGAGGGCTTTTGAAATTAGTCTTAAAGCTGCAGATTGTCTACTCTGGCTGCTTCAGAAATTTCTAGCTAAATCAGAGTCCTTGGCTTAGGCAGTTCAATAAATCTAGTGCTGATTAGTATTTTCCAGATTCAAGGTTTGATTTGTAAATTGGGAGGTGTAAAATGGAATATCAATACAAACACAGATGGGTGTGTGGAGTTTGTACTCTCCTTCAGTTAAAAACCTTCAGGATGGCTCATGTAAATATACAAATGATATAAAATTAAATGAATAAAGTTCAAGTTAGCATTAAAAAAAAGTGGAGTCCTATAATTTCTAACGTTTCCTGAGATCCAGTCTCCAAGACTTCAGGACATCAGAAGATGTTCTCTAGCACCCAATTCTCAAGCTTTAAAGATAATTGCCAGCATTTCAAACTGGGTTTGAAATGATTTGGGAACCAGTGTAGTTGTTTTATGCCTTGGTGAAACATTAGTTTGAGGGACAAGATATAAATCCAACCATAAATAAAAGAGCAGCTAGATCATATTTCATCTCCTAGAACAAACACTCACAGTCTGCCTATCTTACCTGGATTGAGCTTCCTTTTCTTAATCTCATTGTTGGTTCCAAACATTAATATTATTTTTTCCAACCCCAAGCCTTAACTGAATCAGATGAAAAGGAGTAATAGAGCTGGGTATCATCAGCTTATTGATCACATTTCATATTAGCAGAGAGAAAGAATAAGTGAGAAATCAAAATCTTGAAAAGCCCCCTAACACAAAGTCAGTCTAGCAGCACTGCTTTCTGGAATTAGCCATCCAGTAGGGACAAAAACTTGAGCACAGGGCCTCCAATCCACAGCCAAGAGCAGATGGTCCAGAAGGATACCATGGTCAATAATAGTGAAAGCTGCTGAGAAATCCAACTGAATTAGCAGAGTGTTACTCCCCGTCTCTGCCTGCAAAGATCATCTGTCAGGGTGATCAAGACAGCTTCAGTATCACAACTGAGTAAATGCTGTCACCTCCGAAGGTAAACAAAAGAGAATTATTTGCAAACTGCACAAACTTAGTTCTGAGGGAAGGAGAAGAGAGATGGGTAAACTGCAAGCAAATAAGTAAACATTAGTAAGGAGTTACATGCTAAGCACTGCTACAGCTAGTGCCTCCTTTCCCAACCTGTTGGGGAGCAGAATTTTTGGCCAACACGGCCTGGAGTTGTGCTGGTTGAAGACACTGGAAGCTGTAGCCCAAAACATCCTGAACACAGGAGATTAGGAAAGGTGGTATATTAAACTGATAAATGAATCCCAGAGTTTCTGGTTTGTTTGTTTGTATTTATGACATTTATCCTGCTCTTCTCTAAAGGAGATCAGGATGACATATGTAGTTGCCCTTCCCTAATTTATCTGCATCCAGCAAGCTTCAAGACCCAGTGGAAATTTAAACTGGATCTCTCTGCTTGTAGTTCAACATTGTAAACATTCCAGTACATTGGCTTTTCATTAGAGCTTGAACTGAAGTGCCATCCAAAGATAAGTCATGATTTTTTATCCTCTCTCCATGACCTTCTGAAGTGTGGAGCATTCCTATTTCTGAGCTAAATTATAAGTATTTAAGTAAGTACTCATATATATGTAAGTGATATAAAAAAATTGGACTTGGAATTATCCAAGACATGATAATGTATTATTAATGAATATGAATTATGTACTGATCAGTTCTGTGTAAATATGCCTCTTGCTTTCTAAACATTTTATACTTCTTTGACTACAAAAAGTTTCATCACTGATTAAGCACAGTTCATAGTATCCCTGATATTTCCTCATAACAGACTTCCAGCACACATTTTGCACTTATTTCTTGTGGGAAATTATGCTGCTGAAGGAGATTGTGTACGTGGCAGTGTGATATATTTGTGGCAGGTCTGTGATGAACTGCAGGGGGTAAGGGAAGAGAAGAATCTTCCTGAAAAAAATCAGAGGCATTTTCAGTATACCCTACCCTTCTCAGCTGGAAACAAAATCTGATTTAAAAAAAAAGAACTGGCTAAGCAGCATCTCAACATTCTTGTTTCTAATCTTGCTTTGCAAAATCACTTTCCTCTTAGCATGTTCGTCCCAGCAGCTATAAATTTGGGAATACTACAAGTCTAAGAACTGTCTTGCTGGATCGCATCAGTGTACGTATTGCTTTGCTGTTGGCCACAGGACTCAACCAGCCACATAGAGAAACTTAAAGCACAGCATGGTGGCAGTGGCCCTTGGGCTTTTATTCTTCACATCTGGTACTTGGAAATTTACAGACTCAGAGAACAGAGGGTTCATTTAGTTTTCTGCTTGATTTTGTCTGCAGTCCAGTTGCACTCACCTTAGGTTCGGTTCCTCTAGGTGACTGCTTAAACTTACTTGGATTGTCCTCTTAGGGAAGAGAGAGCCTGTTCTACAATGCTGAGCCAAAAATGCAGGAAGCCACCAGCTTCACGTACTTGTTCTGGCAATTGTTGTATTGCTTTACTTTCTGCTTACAAGTCTTTGGCAGTCCAAAACGTAACTGGAGATCGTTGTTACAGTTTCCCATGCAACATTGTTCTTGAAGGGCATGACGAAACCTGAGCCATCAGCCGTTCCAAATAAACTATAATCTGTTTAACAGTATGACCAGCTAACATCTGCTTTAACAGAGTAGTTAGGTGACATGTGATAATACTCCGTATTTGAAAGCGCCACTAGAAGAATATTATGAAAACCTGCTCCAACTTCCTTTCCTTATTTTACCATTCTCTTGGCAAATGATATAAATCCCACCAAACTTTTTGTGATCTTTAATTATTTTGTAGTTTCTTCAGGGCATAAACATACTGTTATCCCTTTCCCTGTAGCAATGATCTGTTAATGCAAAAATAATTTATTTCACACTTACTCCACCTATTTTTAAACATTTTTTTCCTCCTTTGTTGTATATCCCCCAGGAAGAGCCTCTTTAGAAGTAAAAAATATTACAAACATTGGGAAGGAGAGTTTTCTCTGGATTAAAGCAATGCTAAACTGTTCCCCATGTATTATGTGGACTGAGGCCAACATCAGGGGCTGGCGCTTGCTGGAGCCCCGAGTTTGAGAATAAGCCTCCACTGATCCTAGATGCTGTTCTCCTATTTTCCAGTGGAAGAAATGCCTGTTGGCAGCAAAAGAAACAGAATGAAAGAATTGTGCTCTGCATCTTTTCCGGAGGACAACCGAACCTTACTTAGTGGGATGCCACTGCAGAGAAGTCAGGGCAAGTCCTCCATGCCAGATGAAGGAGGCAATTGCAAACTGTGAAATCGCAAGTCTTGGGCTTCGCTTTCTTCATCTGCGCCCATGGTGGTGGGTGGTTTTTGGACTTCTGAGTTTTAGGGAAGTTGCTCCCTTTCAGTTCATGTGCCAAGAAACCCTTGCATATCTGCTACAGAAACTTCAGTTCTAAGGCTATCCATCTAATTTCAAAGGTGGTAGTCCTGCCCTCTTCTGGCTTCAGAGCCTAAGTAGTTATGCCAAAGGAAATGTAGCTCTCCACAGAGAAAAGTTTCCTCAAAAGAAAACAGGAATTTTTCTATTCTACAGCAGACTCAGAGGCATTGACCAGAAGGTGGACCTCATGATTACTTGTGCGAAGTGAGAGCAAGCTCTGGAAGGTTTAGATCCATTGAAAGGAAGGTTGGCAACAGTAGCAGCCTTTCAGGTTGCCAGTGCAGTATTTTGGCCTTTGGGAACCTGGAACAGAATTTGGAAATCTCTTCTTTGGAGAGATAGTGGTGGATTCATGCTGTTATATGCATTATAATCAGCCTCCCTCAGCAATGCATTCTTTCTTTCTTGTATTTCTAGAAAGCCCACTTAGTTTTAAATACATTACTTGGAAGACTGTTCCATTTAAATGAAAAGCATCTGTCAAAAATATTGGCTCCTTACATAACACATTTAGGACTGGAAGACAACCACTGAGCCCTTTTTTTAACTTGGTAGTAGGTTGCATTGACATCCACGGGACTTAACTGCAAGTAAATGAGTTTAAGAACATTGGAGTTTGGAGCATGGAAGAGCACCTGTTTCTTCCTGTCCTGGAAATGGCAGATTAAAAAGTGTACCTATTGCTTCAAACACTAATCCCTCTAGCATTGCTGATCTGTTCTTCTAATCCTTGGAACTACAGTATGTGAAACAAAAGGCATTTTGTGCAAGCAAAATGATTGCACTAAGCTGTTGTTGCCATGGTAAGTCAGGTGATCTTAAAGCATGGTAGTTTTCCTGTCTGTTAATATATTGTGCAATTTGATTTTAGGCTGTATCTATTGAATAAAAAGCGGCAGTATTTTTATTCAATAATATAGTACAGTATTGTACTGTAATACAATACAGTATTGTAGCTTTTGCAAGGGTTCAAAGTATTTCATTTATAATGTACGACTATTACATTTTCATGTTATTGATGGTGGAGAGGATCAACTGAGTTGTAGTCTTTACACATCAGAAGAACACCACACTGGAGAATCCGTGCTGGAGTAGCTTCAATAGAATTTGCTGTTTGTTACATCCTACAGTGACTTGTGAAGTCAGCACACTGATTTAACTATGCTGTATATTTGAAATGATATAATTACATTGCCACTTGGTCCAAAAATATTTCAGTGTGACAGTGGAGATGCTTTGGTTTTCTAGTATCTGATGTAGCATAGTGGTTAAGATCCTGAACTATGAATAAGGATGTTCTTGATTAGAATCTCCCACTGATAATAATAGTGGTCTATCTTGCCTTGATAACAAAATAAAGCATGAAAAGTGGTTTGTGTGTGAAAGCACAAAGGCTCAGTATTATCATTATCCATGTGTTTTGAATTCAGAATGAGGAGGTAGACCAAAAAGATTCACTGTGACTTTTCCCTTCAGAATTTTTTTTTCATCTGCCTTCAAACATTTCCTTCTCGTGGGCTCTGCATTTCTCTTGCAAGTCTCTTCTTCATCTACCTCTTTACTGAATAATTTTGTCCACTGTTTTGCCTGAAAACGATTTCTCCAAGTCCCAGGGAGAGGCCTTTGCTGGCCAAGATCCTCTTAACTGAAGACATCAACAGCAGTGACTGAATCTGGAGCCTCTGCATGTGGAGTTAGTACTCTGCCATGTAGCCGTGAGCTTTTCCTGAACTACTTTGTGCTTCTTAAGGTACCACTTCACTTCTCCCTGCCATTATCTCATTATTGACTATATTGGTCCCTACCTTTCCAATAGTGCGTAATCTAGGTCACTGAGAGGTGAGCTTTTTGTCAAGAATATGGTGATGGGACTGTAATTTTTTTCATGTAGCATATTTCATAACACATACTTTCTCTGATGGTGGAATGATGACATGGGCTTCTCCTAGTTCTCTAAACTACAAGTGCAAGATAACTTTCATTCAAATCCTGGGTCCCAAGTTGTTTAAAGCTTTGAATCCAGCACATTCAATCATGGCTAGAAGAGAAAGGCAACAAAAGCAGCTGTTTCATGTTTAATATTACACATGCCACAACAGCTGTCAATAGGCTGGCAGCTTTTTTTTTTTTATCAGCTGTCATTTTCAGATTGCCTTTAGGAGCAGCTTCAAAGAAGTGCAATATGAACAAGAGGTTAAAAAAACTTTGTGACACAAGGTTCATGATGATGAAAATGAAAGATAGATCCTCCTTTTTGTTATATTTGCCCCCCCGCCCATGTTTTTCAATATCATGCTTGAACATAAAATCTCTTGAACAGAAATTCTCACATTGATTATCTTTTCTAGTAACTGTAAATAGTCTTATTTTCCATAAATATGATTTATTTTAAAAAAATACGTATACCATATGACAATAGATCATTAACTAGTACAAATTTATCGATGGTGTTGAGTGCCTGAGGTGCACTTTCATTCTATATTTTAGTAATGTGTCTCAAGCTTGCCTCCAGAGGGCATCATATCCCCACTGCTGCCTGTGCCCTACTGTCTGTTGTGCATCCATTGGATTGCTGCCAGATGCAGCAGATTCCTTGTTGTCTAGGAACTGCCTGGTGCTCCAGAGGGCTAATTCACAAGATTCCCTAAAGAGGGTTATGCAAACACCCTTGGCTCTAGAACTCAAGCTGAGAAGTCTCAAAACTAGGCCATTCAGGATGTGCTTCTGCCAAGCACAATTCAAAGCAATTTATCATCAACGGTTCTCAAAGTCATTTAATATCTTTATTATTATTAATTTGTTTAAGCCTAAAGAAGGAATGGTGGTGGTGGTGGTGGCGGTGGTGGCAGTGGTGGTGAAGAAGAGAAGCTTTTTCCTATTTTAATTTAATGTCTTCCAGCTGTTGTGTAAACTGCATGTGTATGAAAGAGGACTAAAAGAGCCTCTTATTGTACTCCAAATATTGTTGGAAGGCAAGGAAAAGTTACTGTATAATATTTTCTACCTTTGAAAATTTAAATGGTTGTAGCTGGATAAAACCTGCATTAAAAAGAGAGCACCCAATTATAAGAATAGAAGAATAATGTATGAGCTATGTACAAACCCAAGAGTTGTACAGTAAATGGGATTAATCAAAACTATTTAAATATCTAGAAAGCAAGATATGGATATGCTCTACCAGATCAGAAATGTAAGGTAGATGTAGAGAGCCATGAAAAAGGCCCTGAAGGGGATATTCAGAAGCCATCACAGAAACAAGAGTAGAACCATTCCTTGAACCCTGGAAGTGATGATCAGCAAGCAAAAACTCACATTCTTGGAGCAACAGATACAAGTGGATATGGACTAAAGAAAATTACTATGCTTAGCAGGATAAAAGGGAAGCAGAAGAAGGAGAAGACAACGGATAAGGTGGATAGATGGTATTAAAGAGATTACAAGACTATACTTCAAAAAAATATACATCATTGCTGGTAGGACGCCAAGATGGCAAACATTTGACCATGTAGGAGTTGAGTCTCTTGATGGTAACTAAGCAAATAACCATGCTCAGTGTTATGTTTCATGATTATTTTGCATCCCCCCATGTTTAAAAGGGGCGGGGGGAATACCTACATGTAGGACCTACCATAAGAAAATTAGTTCAGAGGAACACATTTGAGAATGGACTGAAAGAGTGAACTACCTGCGTGTCTAAGGATTTTCTATTCTCAGTAGAACAGATTTGAACACTCTTGATCTTTGGTATGAAACATTCTGCAGATGCTAAAGTTTTTTTTAGCTGTTCTTATGAATGATAATTTAACCCTTCATGATGCTAAATGTGCTTTCCACTTTTAGACTTTATTCCACACTGTTAGCATTCAGGCATAAGTATACGTAAGAGCATTTGCTTTTAGATAATAAACCCCCCATTTTTACTGTTGTTTCTCTGTAAGCTGCCTCTCTTGGGTTTCCCATTCTCATTTTTAGGTTATAATCTCCTTGCAGACAATTCCTTGTACTCTCTATTTAGTGTAATTTACCAGGTACATCAGTGGCACTATACTTACCAATATTTTTTTTTTAAATCCCTGTTTATTATTATCAGAATAATACTAGAGGAAATGGGGTAGAAATACTCTGTCTGAAAAGCAAGAAACATGTCTTTTTTTGTTGTTATGGAACATATTACTGTTAAAGACAATAAAATAAGTGATATTCTTTCTTTAATAGTGTTTAGTGTACCAGTTGATTAGATCTTCATAGCAACAAGTTAGACTAAGTTATGGTTACTTGTCCAGTGAATGTCACAGTTGAGCCATCATACTTACTGGTTTAATAAAAAATGTATGCAAAGTGTGCTAATTAATGGAAAGCAAATCTAAAGGATATAACCCATTGCATCATCACGGCATTCCTATCTATTTTGCAGCTTGCAGCTGTCATTGAGATGCTAGAAAATGCTTTCTATGGTTTAGACTTACTAAAACTGCACTCTGTTACAACGAAGCTTGTGGGTCGCGTGGAGAAACTGGAAGAGGTAAGATGAATTCCAGCTCTTTTAGGGACTATCTTAACCTTACCTCTATAACTGCAGAAATTGAACAAGCCTATAGCTCCATTCCAGAAGAAACTTCATCTGATTTATTACCTATATTGTAGACTGAAAAAATGATAGATACATCTAAGACTACGTTGAATTGGAGAATTGTGCAAGTTAACATGGCAAGAATCAAAGATACCAGTAATAGAAATAAAATATCAAAAGCTAGAGTGCAAAATATAAATAAGGAGAATATATTTCATAGTCAAAATATGGAATGGATCAAATCAAGGTCAACCACTTAAAAGTTCTCCTGCTTCAGTGGGAGAATTTAAACACATGTCTTTCTCTGTAAACTTGCTTGTGTTTTTAAATACAAGAGTATCTGGAAACAATTCAGCAGGTGAATTTTTGCTGACCATACAGTTATAAAAAGCATATTTGACAACTCTATAAATATGAAACAACTGTTTTTTTCACCCAGTAAAAACCATACAGTTAATAACAGGCTGCTACCATAGCCTGCATTCAGAGATGGGAAACCATTTTGAATTTGATATCAAATTCTAATTTTATGGCTTCTCATTCTAACCTTTGAGTGAGAAACTAAAAAAAAAATGGCAATAGAGGGCCAAAGGGGAATTTGATGGTGACTTGACAATGCACTTGAGAGAGTGCAGTTTGGGGCTGTTTTTCCTCTTTGAGAGGATTTGCCTTTTACAAAAAAATTATCAAACATGCATAAGTTATCTAAGCTTTATGTCTCCTTTCATGATGAAAATTGGTGGGAAATGATTGACTGATAAATTTCAGTAGTGCAATCATGGGTAGTGCCAGGCTATAAGATAAAGTGTCTTAATGTATGCATGTCGTTTTCCATGCTGGGTATGAATGCACCTGCCTTTTAAAATTTATTTTGTTTTTAATTGTAGTTTTATTTGGACCTACTTTGAGCGCTAGGCAGCCTTTTGATATTTGGTATCTTTTGATGGTCTGGATCTGGCTGGATTGAATTCTGGGTACATTGAGAGGCAATTGGATGCAGAGAATATACGGTTATAAGTTAATATGTGAACATAATGGAATATGAATCCAGTCTGTTATGATGGACACTGACCTGGCCTTAAACTTTTCTGCCAGCCTTCCCTAGTCTGGCGTCAACCAAATGTGTTGGACCAATTCTTATAATTCACAGCCAGAGGTAATGGTCCACTTATCTGAAGGGCACCAGATTGGGAAATGCAGTGGTATACAGAGATGTTGGCTAAGGCTGGAAATGCTTGCGCCCAATTTAGGTGTGTGTGTTTTCCCAGAGATGTTTGATTTGGCCACAGTGACTCACAACTTATACCCAGATTCGGTTATTGTAATGTGCACTATGCACAATTTGCTCTGATAAGTATCTGGAAACTTACAGTTGGCGCAGAATGTAGCAGCCAGACTGTTAACTGGAAATATTTTTAAGGATCATGTTACTCCATTACTAAAACAACTACCCTGACATACAGTTCATTTCTCAGTTTAATTCAAAGTGTTGGTTATGCCCCTTAAAGCCCAAAGCCACTGTGGAAAATTGCTTGCTTCCATATATGCCTGCCCAGTTGTTAAGATCTTCCAGAGGGGCACTTATGTTTTTTTTAGCCATTTTCTGAGCTGAGTAAGGCCAGAAGAATAGCTGACCCATGACTGGAATTCTCTCCCTAAATGTGCCTGTCTGGTCCCCTTGTGGATGGGTTTTGATCCCTTTGTGAATAGCATCCAGCTTAAGTCTGGCCTTGGGGCTGTACAATAAAAGGGGGCATAATTTACATTACGCTCCCTTTTACAGCTTAAAAATATTTTGCCAATTTTCTTGTCACTGATTTTTGTTGATTTTTAATTTGGACTTTGATATTTTACTTTTTAATTATTTTAATTGCCTCATTATTTTTGTATTTACTCTTTCTGCTAGCCACAGGCATGACTCCTAAGAGAAGATGATGGTGAGGATAGAGATGAATTAGGTAGACCCATGGTCTGACTCTGTAAAACTCAGCTCCAACATATGGGCAGCTTTTGTAAGCTCATATGCTAATAAAATTGGATTGTAATCTGGTACTTTAGCATAGGAAGCCATAGTATGCTGAATTGCAGCATCACTTGCTAGTAGTAAAATAAATATAAATTTTACATAGTCTAAATGTTACTGGAAGTGTGAAATATTTGTTCCTGAAGTTGATCCTTACTGCAAGTTGCACTTTATGGGCTGAGTAGCCAGAGACAAGGTAACTTCCAGTAGAAAACAGCTGTGGGGGTCTGTCTGAGTTGGAAGCAGAATTAAGGTGAGCCTTTTTGAATGCCGTTTTCCCCTTCAAGATAAAAGTAGCCTCTATATCAGCATGTTTATTTTTAAAAAGTGTAACAAAAACATAATATGGGCTGTTTTATAGTCCAGTTGTTATAATAAGGAAGGCCAATATAGTATTCCTGTCTCATATTGCTGCTGGAGCTGAAGATATAGTATACCCTGAAGGGCATGGAGTTTATAAGACAGGCCAGATTTCAACAAGAGAATCACTGATTGTTTCTCATGTGTTTTTTCCTCCAGTTCTCTTAGGGGTTAATTTTCGATCATAGGATGGCCTGATGTGGGATTGGATAATCTGCATTTTTTCCACAGCTAAATGTAGTTGTCCTGCTTCCTCCAATAGAATGGCAAGTACAGCCTATAAGAGAAGCCATTTCCTCCCAACTACCAGAAAATACCCAATTCCACAGAATGAAACAGAAAACACATACCATCTTTCATGATAAAATATCACTGGTTATTCTTTAAAATGCCACAGGGGTCCTTGATTTTTTTTAAGGCCATAGTCAGGCTTTTGCAGGAAAATAGTTAGAGCATGTAGGAGGAAGTGTAGAGCCTTTAGTAGTATACAATGTGATGGGGTGTGTTTGAGCCTTCAGCCATTTCCACATAGTCACTGGGTTCATGCCTTTTAGTCGTGAACTTAACAGGAGTTTTGTGATGTCAGGCAAAGTACCCATGGCTGAGTTCCATTGTCCCACATTGCCAGCCAAGTGGCCAGTGGGAGGAGGCAAAAATGTCAATCAGCCCCACCCCCAAATGTAAGAACTCCAGCTGGCTACTTGTGGAGGGCAGGGTGAAATCCCAGAGGGGATTAGGTGGGAGATCCCACCAAGAGGAAATTACCACCAACCCTGCAGCTCCAGGGGAAGTACTACAAAATTGTGCTGCGTTTCCTATGCGGCAGGAGATGAGCCAGTAGTCAATTAGCTTGGCTTCCTAGTCCCCACAGAGGCCCCATGACATAGTGAGAACATGTGTTGAAGGGCTTTAGACAGTTATTGCATGCTGAATTTAGGAAGCAACAGTATATAGGGATGCTTCAGTTGTCAGGAATGCAGTGCCATATTCTGGCATTGCATCATTTGACCCAGGGGAACAATTAAAGGAACTGTTAATAGATCGGGAGTCCTCTTGGAAATAATAGGCTGTGGCTACTGATGTGAGCTTGAACTAACATTTGAGTTAGCTTTCTGAGTGATGAATACTGTTTTGCCAGTTACTGACCTCAAGCTGATATTGTTCTTACAATAATTGCAATTATAATCACAGACAATTATGTGCCATTCACTGTCACACCTGTTTAAGACTAAGCATATGTTGCTATTGAACTGCTGTTGTTACAATTTGAGCAGAAAGAAAATAACATACTAACAGGCACTGTTGAGTGGAACTGTACTGATCCTGCCTGCTTCATTTTGGAGATACTTACCAGCTTCCATAAGTTTAGCAAATGTGTGTATGTTTAAAACAGTAAAGGGAAAGTGATTAATTGCTGGAACAGATATATTTCTCCTTTTTGTGGCTAGTGATTGGGCTGGGCTCTTTCCCCTTGTTTCTGCAACTTCAAAGCAACTAACCATTGAGGGCAGAGAGGAAAACTGGGCTCCCAGAAACAAGAGGATTTTTGACGTTACATACCCCCCACCGCCCAGTGTAAATTGTATTATAAAGTGTTGAATGTATTCTGTGGATGAATGGTGTTTACTTTCTCTTTTGAAACATATTCCAGGAAATGTCTAAAAACCTCACCAAAGACAGTAAACAGAAGAGGCAGAACGCAGAAGAAAGTTTTCAGGAGGTGGATATTGATAGCATGGTGAATTCTTCCAACAGCATCAACAATCATGTTGACAGCCAAAGTTCATTGCAGAGAGATGCTGCAGCAGCCTACACTTTCACAGAGGTGAGGCACGCAACTAGTTCCTCAATCAGATTTCTACCCCCTCTGACCACTAGAAATATCTCTTACAGATAAAATCAGAATTCTGTTGCCCTCATTTTAAAATCTACAGTTCTATGGGGAGCCCGCTAAGTCCAATTATAGCCAATTATTTACATGGAGAAACAGGCACTGGATTCTGGGCTTTTAAAGCCTTTTGGTTTCTGTAGGTAGATGACACCTTTATGATCTGGAGTCAGGGTGAAAAAGAACTCAATGAATTTCTAGAGCATCTGAATAACACCCGCCCTAATATTCAGTTTACAATGGAGATAGAGAAAGATAGCCAACTTGCATTTTTGGATGTTCTGACCAGTCAGAGAGAAAATCAACAAGTAGGGCTTACAGTATATCAGAAGCCAAAGAACACAGCTCTCTATCTACATAAATATTTCAACCATCACCCCCGCCAAAAGACAAAATTAATCAAAATTCTTAGTGACCATGCCAGATGTATCTGTGAGCCTGGCAGATTATCAGATGAGTTAAGCCATCTTGCTAATGCTGTACAGGCTAATGAATACTCCACCAGGGGAATCAGGCAAGCAGTGTGCTCCAACAATAAAAATAACATTGAATATTCATCTAAGGACGAGCCACACCCAGTGGGAATATACTCCTTTATATTGAGAAAGTTATAGATTGAATTAATAAATTATTGGAAAAGCACAACTTAATAGTCCTTTACAAACCAACAAAGAAAGTCTAATAAATTATTTTGATCACCTAAGGATAGTTGAGATCCACTCTCGTCATTGGGAATTTATCGCATCCTCTGCAGTTTTTGCCAAGTTTATCTTGGATCCACAAAACATGATATGAATACCCGATTAAAAAAACATGAAAGGCATTGCCACCTAGAACAGCTTGACAAATCAGAATATGCACTGCTATATAAAGGACACAAGATCCAATTCAGAGACATACACAAGTGCTGGCAACCACATCAAATTATTACATGCAACTGCATAGAGCATTGAGATTCACAAACATTCTAACAACTTTAACAAGAAGGAAGAGAGTCTAAAGGTCAATGAAGCCTGAAGCCTGGCTGTGCATTATACCAATGTCAAACAGCCCTTAATTAACTACTAGCAAAGGAAATTTACAGCAGCCTCACCTGGAGAAACACCTAGCTATAGTCTGTCTCAAAGACAGGCTAGTCAGAGATCAGTTTCACTTCAAATTTCCTCAGTTTAGATCATTTGAAAATTCATCTGGATGAAGAACTAATCAGGAATCATCTTTCTATGATTTCCATGAAATGATCCAATTAGAGAATAGTTTGAATGAAAGATCAAACAGCAGAATTACACTTAGTTTTTGAAGATGCTGGCCACAGATGCTATCAGAACATCAGAATATCAGAAAATTAGACCACAGCCATTTAGCCCAAAAACACTTTGATTTATTTATTTATGGTTCCAAACCAATGAAGCACAAATACAAAATTTAAAATACAGATAAAACAATCCTGAAAAATTAACAATGAAAAGAGGGTACCAATAGACTTCTGCAAGCCATAGCTATTGCTAGAAACCTTTACAGCAATTGCCCAAGTTAGATCTTGCTGAAGGAAAATTGTAATTTCTTGACCAGAAAGACCAGTAAACTTTCTGACAATCCACAGTCGTGTGAAAAAGAAAGTACACCCTCTTTGAGTTCTA